GGAAGCGGCTTTAGATTCTCAGTGCTGTGCTTTAAACCCGCTGTGCCACCAGGGAGGGCCCCAGGTCTCCTGGGATTTTATACTCACCATAGTGGCTGGGAAAGAACTTGGAGCAAGGGTGGTGAGCTTCACTGCTTGTAGGAGATACTGACAGGTGCCACATGGAATGTGGTCCGTTTCCAGATTGTGCCATTTTTCAAGAGAAGCCCAAAATCTGGATATTTACATGAATTTTTCAAATTTTTAAATACTGGCAACTTATTAAAAAAGTTTAAATACAGTGTCAAATCAAACAACACTAGTTGGAGGGCTAGGTCTGGTTTGACAGCACCATGTTGTGCCTCTGATGTAAAGGCTGTGTGGTCCAAGGACTTAAAATCACAGAGGAGGTCCCCTCCGGGCAAGCTTCCCCCAGCTCAGTGTGCACATTCTTCCCCCGGGGCCTGTGAAAATGCAGATTCTGATTGTTAGGTCTAGAGCTGGGCCCGAGACTTTGAGCTCCGAATGGCTCAGCTTAGACTGCTCCGGCTGCACAGCAGGTAGGCTGTCAGTTCTCCCCACCATGGGAGCCTGCCGCTTCCTGCCCTGCCAAAGCGTGTCCATGTTCCTGATGAGACCACAACCACTCTCCTCCAAACTTTGATCCCCATCCCAAGCATGCAGGGGGAGGGGCCAGAATTCATGGGCACTAGGACAGTGTCACTCAGCTACAGACAAAGGGTTGGGAATAGGCACCTGTGCGTGCCCTCCAGGAAAGCAGCAAGGCTGGTCACCTTCCTGAGCAGCTGCATGTTTTGGAGTCCTTGTGGGAGGGCTCCAGAGCACCCCACTCCTCCCCGTCAAGCCCAGGTCTAGGCTGGCTCACGCAGGGCTTGCCTCTTGCACTGGAGCAAATTCCTGAGGCCCCAGACTTACTTCATTCTCTGTGCCCCAGGGCTCCCAGTGAAGCCTCCGTACATGTTCCTGAAGGGGAAGGAAGTGGTTAAATGACAGTGGGAGGACTGAAATGAGACAGGGGAGAGGATTTGCAGGTAGGGCTCTTAGGACAGGAGTAGTACCTGAGGAAGGTGTCTGTCAAAGGTGCCCATCCCCTGCCCAAGCCGGGGGCTCATGCAACTGGAGGCCATGACTCTCAGAAGCCCACGGCAAAGGACATTTTAAGTGGCCACTTCTGGGGAAGGATCTGGAAAGTCCAGGGAGAGGAGGGCAGGTTCTGTCTTGCTTGCCAGCAGCTAGCCAGCTCTTGGTCCTGAGTTGAGTTCAGTTCATATGGTGAGGATGGAGGGCGTGGAGGGTAGGTGGAGGGAAGAATCAAGGGAGGGAGTGAAGGACTGAGCGAGGGATGTAATTTCTCCACTAGAGAACAAAACTCCATTCTAGATAAGGACTTAGATGGATGGTTACATACCGGCTGCTTCAGAATCCCCTGGAGATCTTTTGAAAACACGCATTCCAAGATCTCGGCCAGAATGACCAAATCAGAACCTCAGGGTGGGAGTCAATTTTCATTAATCTGCTCTCCAGGGCATTATTTTCCAGGCATCTGGGCTAGAGTGTCCCCTCCGGTGTCTCCCCAGAACTCACACTGAGACTGTTACACGGGCCTGCACATTTGGGGCTCTGTGGGCCCCTGAAGCTGGCTCTGCCTCACAGAGCCAGGACTATGAGGCAGAAGTCACCTGGCTGAACTGCTTCCGGGAACACACCAGTGTTCAGATTCCTCACCAGGGGCTTGGGGGGATGCCTGCAGGGCCCCGTGTCTTCAAAGGACCCCCTGTGCATGTGAATGTGCATTCTTTTCTGTGCCTAGGATGAGTAACTTTCCACAGATGCTCAGAGAGAGGAATTTATCAAAACCATTTCAGAGCTGCTGCTCTGGAAGACGCCAACCCCTCCCCCTCCCCCCCACCTCCCTGAAGTGTCTTCCCTTCAAAATCCTGCTCGCTACTAAGCTCCTCCTTGGTCCTGGCAGCAAGCTTATCACGGTTAACCTATGCTCCCCATTGAACAGATCTGGAAACTGAGCCTCGAGGGCACAGCCGCGTTCCTAGTGAGTCTGAGCAGAGAAGCCAGGGCGCCTGCACTCATTCTGACTCCAGGTAACTTGTGCTGCCACTTGGCACATCACCTCTATTTCCTCCTGTGACGTGGGGGGTGGGGGGTGGGGGGTGGAGGGGAGCGGATAATAGGAAACAGGAAGCAGAAATCCCTTTCCCTCCCTGTGCAGTCCTGGGTGTCCACTCGTAACTGGGAAGGCTCATGGGGCTGGATCAGGGACCGAGGAGAGTCTACAAGAAAACTGAGAGCGAGGACAGCACAGCTATCCCGCAGTACTGACTTCCTCGCTTTGCTGTCTTGTGTTTGAAAAGGCCTATTTCTGCACTCTTGTCCTACATGAGCAAGCAGCCACAGCCCAGCAGCGTTGGCAAGCACATCACCAGCCCACTCCTCCCTCACTCTGGGCAGAGCAGGTGGCCAGCGAGTGGGTGGGCAGGGGCTTGGAAAGAGGACAGGCCAGAAGAGGGGAGGAGGCGTGGGAGGAGGGAGGAACAGGGGTCAAGGGGACAAGGGGAAGGCTGCTTGTGAGGGCCCTATGGGAGTAGGCCATGGTTGGGTCCTGGGGTGCCCATGAAAATGTCCTAGGAACAAAAGTACTGAGGGGGTAGTGTCCCCAGAAGTCATGGGGACAAAAACTCGTCTGCCCAATGAGGTGTGTTAGCAGCCTGGTCAGTGCCTGTGAGTGTGCAACGCTTTGAAACTTTGCATGGACAAAGCATGTGTGCGTCATGCTGAAGATGAAGTGTGTTGCCATGTTAGCAAGACAGACACGGGGTGTGGGCAGGGAGTGGTATGTGTGAGAGAGGGACAGACGGACACTGGAGGGATGGCATCTCAGACCTCAGCCGTGCTGGGTGGTCTTGCTCAAGATGCTCCTCTGGCCGTGTGGGGGTTGCGGTGGGAATGAGGCTACATAATGCAGATGCCTTTTCCTTTGAATACCCACACAGCGCTGTCCAGCAAAAATTTCTGGGATGATGGAAATATTCTATGCCAGCCATGGGCCTCCTACGGCTATAGAACAGTTGAAATGTAGCTAGTGGGACTGAAAAACAGAATTTTTAATTTTATTTCATTGAAATAGCTGTAGAGTCATGTGTTGCTGAGTGAAGGAGAGAGATTCTGAGAAATGCATCATTAAGCCATCTCACTGCAAATGTCTAGTGCAAGAATGCAGGATGCTACGTGGAGACCACCGTCGGGGAGGTCTGTTCTGATAAATGACACGTGTCTTCAGTGGCTGGTGGCCCCATGTTGGAGAGTGCGTTCTGCTTGGGCAGAACAGACACTCCTGAACCAAGCCGACCAAACTCCAGCCGATGGCCCAGCTGCTCACTAAAAAGTGAACCACAGTAAACCCATTTCCTGCCTTGCAAAATGTTGGGAAGAAGAGCACCAGCCACTGTGCAGCCACTTCAAGGAATGGGTGAGACCATAAGGTATGCCATGGGTTTAGCACGGTCCCTGGAGTGGAGTAAATGCTCAAGAAACAATGCCTTTTATGGGCATCATTATCTGGAAGTGATGGGAACAGCTGGCATCATCAGACACAAAATGGACCTTGTTTGCCAAGTTCGGGAAGGAACGAACTGGAGAGGAGGTGAAGAGGGGTTCTGGAGAGGGGGAGCTGCTCCCCAGGGCAGATCAGCCTGCCCCAGGCAGGCCTGAGTATGAGGGGGCCAAGAGGCTG